GACAGCAGTCACTAGCTCACAAGCACGTCGCGCTTCAAGCTACAAGCTACATATGCAAGCTAATGCTGAAATGTAAATCCGTCATTAATCTCAGCCGCATGTACACAGAGTGACACTGTGTCACTCATGGAAGTAGCTCTTGATGCGACAGGTGACAACAAATACTGACACGAAAGCTCTCAGCAATGTATACCCTTTGGTAACATAAGCCTTTGTATATATACTTTATAATCTGCATGGTGGGATCTTCAAAGAGACAAGATTTCGTGATAAGCGGAAGGTGCTAAAAGGTGACCTTTACCCCTCGTGTGTCGTACTTTTTTCGTTTTCTCCTCTTTTTTTTCTAAGAAGGCGTGTAGCGTTTTTGTACATTTGGTCTTGTAAGCTTAATGGACAGATATCGTAATTTTATATTGTTTCCCTTAATGCGTAAGAACGAGAATTTATCTTTACTTGTTTTGTCTAAGCTGATAACTTTCAACACGTGCTCCCACGTAATGTACCCATTTTATATAAAACGTGTGTTGGGATTTTGTAATATTTTTGTTCCTCAAAATTGAACAGCATTCAGCGTCGATTATTCAGTGATCGATTGCACTTCAAAGGCCGCACTCATTGCACCGATGTACGGAAAATAACTGGTGGAGCGATGGAACTGTTTTTAAATGAACCGTTTATTGATTTGATACTGGCACGTAACGAAGTGTTGTCATTAATTTAAAACTTTTGCAAACAGTGGATAGTGGTTTTCTCTTAATCGAATATATCGATTACGATTAATCGATTATTTTTTTAAGTATTATTATTTTGTTAATATCTCACGGATATTTTTAATTGCTTTTAATTAAAGTCAAAGCCGTGCGCTTTGCCGTACATTAACATTTACAAAAATATTAATAATTTATAGTCCCTAACGGGTTTTAAGAAAAGCCACATTAAACAACCTTGCCTTACCGAAAAATGACCTTTAATATATTTACACTTTGAATACAAGGAATTTGAACCCTTGAAGCCTTCAAAGGACTTAATACATGTTTGAGGCTTACTCTGTCTAGTTTTATAAAAGAGTAGCACACGATAATGGTTTAGTGTATTAGTTAACATTTAGGTTAACACGTGGGATAAGGACGAAGTTGAGCTATCATTTTGGTATTTTACAGTGGTTTGGCTGTAATAGAAAATTATTATTTAATATTCATCGTTTACAAAAACTTAACAGCATTACAAATATTTCAAACAAAGTGCTATTTCGTTCAATTACTTAACGCAAATTAATAAGCCATCTAGCTGTCAATTGACTTTGTTGTTAAGATAAATTGTATAGTAGAAATTTCATAAAGTGTGATAATAAGCTTTTCAACAGCTTTTTTCTCACTATAGCTTTCATTATTTTGTAAGTGGATTTTTAAAAAAACAAGACATCATAAACATGCCATTTGTATAATGCGTAGAGTAAATGCTCTATTTGTACCATAGTTATATACACAGAATAGTTAAAAATAAAACTTCAAAATATTGACATGAATTTTTACTTTAATATTTTAGTCATAATATTATATCATCTATACGGGAGTGTCACAAATTTGTAATATCACAGAAGGTAGTCAGTACCATATGAGGCAATATGTGAGGGTATGGGTTAATTGACTGTCCTTTACTATCTGACCCGCACTATACTTACGTATGTGGGCCCAATCGTATTGAGATGCAATAAGGGCCCTTAACGACAGTCCCAGTCAGCATATACTTCTAAATAAAACAGACACTACTTTATATAATATACTTGGTATTGTAAAAGAAACTATGTCCTTTCTATCTTTCTAAGTTATTTATTTGTGTAATTTACATTAACTTAAATTAAGTTCTTTTTAACTTTGATATAATATGAAAACAAAATGTAAATATATTATTTTCAATGATTAGCAAAAATACTAAAATAGAGTAAATTATAGTTGAAAATGCAAGCAACTCTTGAATAAGTCGTCTTATCTCGAAGTGTATTTGCGGTCGCAGATTAAGGACCCGTTACTTATTTATTTTGTAGATAGCAAAAGTCAAGAAGCAATTTATCCAACAAAATGAAGTTTCAAATTTTAATCGTCCACTCAAGCATTTCTCGCGATCCTGCCCTTTGAAGCAATGGCCGATTATAAATTGCTTTTCCACAATTTTACTTCACCTCCATCAAATGATGCAAGGATGGGCAATTTTGTCCAACGATGCGAACTCGGTTTTGTCCCGGTCAGTAAACGAAATGTAACGCTGTTTATTCCGAAAAGTCAATTAAAATTTCCATAAAATTCCATTCGAACTCCTATTTGTCGTTTTATTTTTCATTGTGAAACCTAATGAATTATTTTTCTATCAATTCATTCGCATTCGAGTCCCAATTGATTTATGACAATATACAATATTTTAAGCATGGGTAGCCACATATTGGTTTATGTTTCATGTTTGATATCTCGGCGTTCTGAAACATGTTTTTGTTAAGATAGCAAAACAGACCAATAAGTCAGAATATAATGTTCACATATGTATTGTATAATCTGAAGCTAGAGTAATTTTAGACATTCTTTATGCTTTGGATATTGGTATTATTTATTAATTATTGTTTATCAATTAAATTAAAGGTAGTATAACTTAATTTATTACGTACGTGCCAGAAAATCCTTTAGAGTTGGATATTTCTACGTGAACATGAAAGCAATTGTTCCCGGTCGCTTGCTCACGCTATCATTGCTGACTGTATTACAACGGCAGGACAATGAGCCGCATTTAATCTAACTTTCTTTCCCTCTGCGAACAAACAGAAAGAAAGGCCACACCCACACGAGAGAAACACGACGGTCCTTAATTAATTAGCGAGCATTTCTTTATTGTGACGAACTCCATCGGAACGTTAGCGAAAATTTCGCTTCTTTTCACAACGGCTTTCATTCTCTGTTCTTTCAACGATCTTTTTAAATATTAAAACGCTATTTGTGTAATAGCCCTTTTAACAAGAATTTTCTGACAGCTTTTCATTTACAAATGAAATATTGACTTGGAAAAAACAAAGGGAGTAATTATCAACGTAATTATCGTTTTAGAGAACGCTTCGTTTTTAGATAAATGATTCAGTTTCTCAGTAACTTTATTTATAATCTGATTATGATAAATCTTTTTTTCTTTTAATAAATTCTGAAAACGTTTTTTATATTCGCTAATTTAACGTCCAAATGTTAGTAAAGATACAAGTAATACCTTACTTGTATCAAAGATTAAAATATCAAAGACCCGGAGAATGGTTTGATATTTTTTAACTTACATTTTTTTAATTTTACCAATTTTTCGAGATAAAGTTTGAGTTTATTGCTATAATATTAAGTTTCAACCAATAGAATAATTTAATTGTTTAATTTGTATTTTTAGAAATATATATTTAATAAATCTATATTTTATCTGTATAGATATATGTAATTTTAGTCGATTCACAGGATTTTTCCGTTTCATTTATAAGTTATGTAATTTTGTATAAATTACACAATATAGTCAATAGCAAGTTAGTAAAATGTGTAATGAACGATTTTGATTTTCAAACTCTGTAGTCAATGACTTCCTGTCAATGACTTCCTGTCAATGACTTCCTGTCAATGACTTCCTGTCAATGACTTCCTGTCAAGCTTATTGTTAATTTATGCATTTGCAGTGTAAACAATCTGTGATGATACCTTTGACGCATACTGCAAGAGTGAGCTTGTGAACTTAAACCTGAGGCAACACAGTCGATGGGAATCATTTATGAAGCAATGGAATCTCACGTCCGTATACTAAATAACTAGATGAAATAATTTCAAGGTAAGAATTTATAATTTAAAATATTTTCTATCATTTCAATGGCCAGTACGTGGTTTGGAAATTGGAAACAATTTCAACGATAATAATTCGGTTTTGTATTGCTCGATGAATAAATTATAAATAGATTTAGCAGCCGCGGGCTTGGAACCATTTCTCTTGTTACTCGGCTAGCCCATTCGCAGATCTCCGAACATTACTCAGCAATAAATTGGCATTTGCGCTGTCATACATAAATTACACGGGGCGCGCCGAAAACCAAGTTCGTAAGTAGTCACTTTTTGTGTTACTTGTTAAGATATATGCGTTCTTTCTGCCAAGAAGACATTTCTAATGTTATGGAATGCGTATATTTTCTTATCACGTTTTGCGTTTATCTTTTGAAAAATAAATAAGATAACTTTTACTGTCTCGGATTCAAGGAAGCTTCTATTTTTAATTTTGTTCTCTACTAGCTGTACCCCCGCAACTCCGTCCACGCGGAATTAAAAAAAACGTAATTAGTAGCCTATGCCAAAGTTCATCGAGATCCGTTCAACAGTTCTGGAGATACTTTCAAACAAACAACCATCTAAACATTCACATTTATAATATTTGTAAGATAAGATATACACCTACGCTGTTAACTTGAATAAGGTATATGAGGCAGGAGTTCAAATCCAATAAGTTGCAATATTTTTTTTTATTTTTAACTTCAATAACGTGTGTAAATTCGCGTGTTATAGATGTTGTTCCCTTTTTACATGCCACTGGAAGGTCCAATCTATGTCGGTAATATGATCTACCAAATAATACTCTGTATAACGTCAAAAATATAAAAGAAAACAGAACACAACACGATTGTTTTTTTACACGGAGAAAAATATAAGGAAAAATATATTACTTTGCAAATTGCAACGTAGAAAGAAAAGGCTTGGTATTTTTTCATGCTTTTTGTTTTATGTTTCGGCGTTGTAATAATGTTAAAACATGTTACACACAAACGATTACAATAAAGTATACAAGAGTAAATAAATTAAATAAAAATTAATTGCCTTCTAATAAATATAATTGCTTACATTTGATTTTGCACCTTTCAATATTATCACATTATTTGGCGTTTATGCGTCACATTTGTGACATAAAATCTTTGATTATCAATAAATATGTCACTGATATTTCAATTACATAAGCAATTATACTTTATATCGATTGATTACATAAAACTACATGTTCGTTTGCAGCAGAAATATTGACTAATTGTCAACGGTGGCGGTCTGGTATGGTCAAAATCCCAATATAACGTCGTCGCAAAGCCGGCTAAATCTATTATAAAGCGGCTTTGCTCAATTTATCCGAATTAAATTCGAGTGTGGACCCGGTTGTATCATTGAAGTCTAGTTTCCAGTTTTTAAACCTTAATTTTTTTTTGGAAATGATTACGTAACCGCGAGTTTTCACTGTAGAAACATATGTACAAAAATGTAGTCTGTTTCACATTAAAAAAAAACGATTTGCAAAAATTACCTTCATTTAAACATAGATGTTTTATAGACAAAGAGAACGTAAAAATAAGCGAGTCAATCGGTATAGATTCATTTGCAGTGCCCTGGGCAAGATTTCTACTACGCCCCATTTTTATCACACCTGTGGGGGGTGGGTGAAGCTTAACAGGGTTATGTGAGTTCTTGTGATATGCAGACTGTCCAACGGCCTGCCCTGACACTGATACTGTTTATTTCCTTTCTTTGAACCTGCTGTGACTTTCCTTACGTACTGACAGGGGAGTTTTCATTCTTCATACGTTATAAAAAATTAACTAGGCGTGCCTTCGTCCTCCTGAATTCTTGAAAATAGTATTTTATCATATCAGTGGTAATTTGGTGATTCACAAAACACCCTCGTCGTTTATAACGGTCACGTTCTTGTATGAATCTCTTGATCTTCTAATGAAGGTCATAATCATGGCTCTAATATAAAGCCATTACCTCTGTCAAATTGCATGGGGCAGCGGGGAAGAATTCTCCCCTTTGTAAGTCAATTCTTTACGTACATTTAGGTGTCATTAAAGTTAACACACCAATTAACTGAATCGTTACAGAGCCCGCTGATAAATATGTATTGAGATCGTTGTTCCTCATTATTGTAATTTAAGAGTGCAGGGAACACGGCGAATGGTGTTCATTTAAAATAAATATCGCATTACCGTTTGTTATGGTGAGTTCACACGAGGACAACACAGAGATTCAGAACAGTAGACAGTCCAGTATTCCTAATATTTAAACGCACACCTTAGTGTCAAAGCTCGGCGTGTGTGTTCGAGCAATAGTAGTACTGTTCTATACAACTGGTCTGCCTCACTGTCCTAGTGTGAAACTAGCATTATCGCACGTCGCATTAATCTGCAGGTACACGCGAAGCTCGATGTTCAATTAGCTTCACCGATTTTGGTATTGTTCGCTATGAAATTAAATTTGTTTTAATTGAATAAACAGTAATTTAATTGAAATCGAACTTGATAAAATATGTTACATTTATCTTTTCATTGGTTAATTGTATGTCCTATAACGTTCAATGATTAAAGATTGTTAAACTTACATAATTTTGTTTGCAGTTGCAGTCCTGAGTTCAGACTTCAGCCCGTGTTAAGGAGGACTTGGCTGGACGTGGAATAGCAAGTGAACTTTAAATGAGGTGGACTTTAATACGCGGCATATCAAATACTTCATATTCTAAAGTAAGTACTAGAGTTACTATAAATTTAATCATGTTTGAGTTGAAATCGTTATTCAATAAACGTACGACTTGTACAGTCCGTGTCTGATAAAATGTCCATCTCAATTACTCAATTCCCTCAACGGGCCACGGCGCTCTTTGTTCTGATTTTTCTCTACAAATGTCTGTATCTTTAGAACGATTGTAAGCAGGAGACTGTACATGTCTTAAATATAAAAATGTTGTATTTTAAAAACTACTATTGATAAAGTATTTTTATATATTTATTACATAAGTGAATGTTAATATAAACTCTATATGTTATGTGCTTTATAACAAGGATCGTGATTAAAAAGTATAATTAAATCTGATTGTAGATTATTTAAACAATATATTATTTGTATCGGAAGACATTATTACTTAATATTATTTTTTTAATCATCTCAATTGAACCTAGGTTGGGTTATTAGCCCCTCGAAGAATCTTTTGTTATTGTCTACGGTAACTTAAAAATATTCTACATTGATATTATTTGTAAAATATAATGTTATACATTTTGAATTGGTTCAATTAAATGGAATGATTTCTTAACTTATAAGTCGTAGTAAATCTTTAAGGAAATTGTTTTGCGTAAAGATTTCCGGCACACAATTTCGAGAATACGCCAACCACTTAAACAAATCTCTGAGACGCCTCACCGCTTCAAAGTTTGCTTAATACTTTAAACTGGTAATGAAGGCATTAAGGCGCGCTGAATGCATAAGGAATGAGCTGCCACCACAGACTCGTATATAATTAGCTTCTTTAATAGACATTTCCCACTAATATAAGGGTCGGTAAGTTCGTTATAGTTTTCTTTTTTAGTTTTTCATGTAAATGCGATGAATGAAATTTAACTTTTCATTAAAAACTTAACGTAGTTTATTTGTCACGACACTTATGTTTTTAAGTATACTTAAAATATTAAAAGTTCAAGATTTAGTATGCCATCTACAGAATTGTTTACTGACTTGTCTAGAATTAACGTACTTCCTAGGTTACTCTAAGGTTGCTTGTGTGTATACGCTGAAATGTTGTCCTGTGGGATAAACAGTTGTTTTATATCTTGAGTAACTATTCCTTGTTTACTGAACATAAAGTACACGAAGAGTAGATGGTTTCTTTCCTTTGTTATTATAGACGAGATATATTTTTGAAATATAACTTAAACGCCAATTTGTGGAGAAACTAGATGTCGCTCGCGACTACGTCCGCGCGGAATTAAAAAAAAATTAATTAGTAGCCTATGTGTTCTTCCAGACTGTGTTCTATAACTATGGGAAATTTCAGCAAGAATCTTTGAGAAGTTCCGAAGATACTTTTACTCAAACATCCATCCGTCTAAAATCTAAACATTCGCAATTATAATATTACTAAGATGACTATATTTACGTATAAAATTAAACTATGAATTATTTCTGTTTAATATTGGTACACGCATATATTTTGTATTACTTTATCATAAACTTATTATTCGGAATTATGTACTAACGACTCTCGCGTGAGTTACCAAGAACTATTCACATAAAATCGCCGACGAGGGCGTCTGATTTTCGTATCGGGTTGTTTAATCTCAATTCAATGGTTACAGCACTTGTAAAATTACAATAGTTTTGATGTGTTAAAAGCCGGGGTCTCCTAAGAGCGCGTAAAGTACCCATTATGAAATTGTTTTCAATAAAAGTTGTAAAAGAGCATTATAAAAACAATATTGTTGATTAAGCCATTATGATTGACGTTGTGGTTTATTTTAATTAATTTATTGTATTTTAATTAATTTTGCCTATTTATAGTCTTTTATTAAAATATTAAGAATTATAATACAACGATAACATCAACTACAACAACATTGTTCGAGCCTGTAACCCAGAGGGATAGGCAGAGACCACGGAACTCCATTTGGCACGGTCCTGACCTTTCTCACTTCTACATTCATACGCATACATGCATATAAACATAATATATTGTTATTACTGCAACAACGTATATATAATACAGTACATAAACATCATTATATCTGTCTGTATCATATAATACATTCAATAAACTTGAATGAATTTCAAACATTATTTACTAAAGTGTTAATTATAAAACAACATTAATTGTCTGTACTGTGAACAAATCATTAATTAATCGCGTACATTTCGAAGAAATAAGTAATTTTGATACAATTTAAAGTTTATTTTGTACTCATTCAGCTCCATACCATCACAGCGGAACCATTATTTTGTATAATGACGTCGATTTATTTAATTCTGAATAATGTTTGCTTTTAATAGCGTGGTAATATTGCGTGTAAAGTTGCTTCATAATATGTTAAAATAAAAACTCACGACAATAATTAACGAACATTTACGTTTGATATGATCCTTGTTCAACTATAGCTATATCATATGTATGCATAGATACCGTTGTATATAAAAAAGTCTACCATATGTTACTTTATATTTTGTCTGACTGCATTGTTCATAATTTTACTGCTGCAAGGCATTAATTGGTTAACAAAGGAGTCCTTAGTGTGGATTTATCATATTAAACATTACTGGATGGAAGTTTGTTAGAAGTCATCTCCAGAAGGGCTTTATCGATTTCGCTGCAATTTGGCATGGATGTAGCTCAAAGCCTGGAAGAACACATAGACTACTAATAAAGTTTTTTTTAAAATTCGCGTGTACGGAGTCGCGGTTCCAAAATGTGATTTTGATATAAAATAACTTATTATTTATACCGGAATCTGTTTATACATATTTAAAAATATTTTTTTTATAACCACATTAACATCCATAGTATCAATCTAACGTCGTTCCATTATTTGACATTATATAGTTACACTCTTAAATCGATACATCTGTCAGCTCGTATGAGAAAAACATTTGTTCAAATTCCATAAAAACGCAATGCGAGAAGTAAAATCCCTCGTTCGCTTCATACAAGGATCAGAAAGTGGCACTGTCACAAGATCCCACCCGTTATCCAAGCGTTAATAGGATCAAAGCGGGCTTTATTTGGGACGTGTCCACGCGATTTCGCCTAACTTATCGAATTTGCAAATCGGCTTACGCTTCGTTAACCATATTGTATGGGACTCGGATCATTTGAAAAATATAATACTAACGAATTTAATACCTCCATTTTAAAAAAATAAACTCAAACTCAGTAATTGGCTCCTCTTTCCAAAACCCTCAATTTTATATAAAAAAGTTCAATCTAGTTATGATGTAATAATACTGAATATTTTTCAGTTGTAATATTTGTAATTTATTAATGATCTAATTACAAAAGTGCAATTATCTCGTGTTAAGTAGAATGTGCTCCAATAAATTATTTAGTGTTGAAAATTTATGGCACTATAGGTTATAATCATTTATTGGCCACCATTTTTGATTTAATTATGTTTATGCCATATAGTTATTTCTCATTATTGCAATTTAAATTAACTTCTCACTTTACTTATAAAGGATTTCCTCTGGATGTTTTTTACGCTTTATCTTAGTAATACCCTTGTTATGCCAAACCCATTAAAAATCTATATAATACCCATATTACATTGATTTAGTGAAAGACATAACAAAAGTTAGTGTATAAATAAATAATACAATTAAAGGCAACACCTGATGTCTATGGACAAAACAATAAAAATAAAGGATGAGGTAATCGAAACAAAACAATCTTAGTTAGGGAGCACAAAATAGACAGAGAGCACTCCCGCTTAGTCTCTTAAATTATTAACCTCTGTGAGGGTGATACGTAGAAAGGTTCTGTCTTGTTTACGCGTTAAGGGAGGAAGGGAAGGGAACTTAATACCCTATATCACTGTCGGGGCAATACAAACTAGCGGGGTCGCAACCTTTTCCACTAAATTACGTATCGGCACATGGGATAATACGAACTAAGTTGAATAACATTAAAACGGTTAACTCGTCCCATAATAAGTGTGCTGAATTTATAAAGTCCCTTAACCAAATCCGAGTTGGACGTTCAAGTAGATAGTGACATGCAAATTGGTTCGGAACAGACTCGTTAACGTTGATCGTTCAAAATCAGTTATTATTAGGTTCGGCTGTTATGTGAACGGACGGACGAGCGTTAGGCGAACAAACGTTTATACATCGATTTTCGAATCGCGTTCGGTTTCAGTAATCATCATAAATCGAGTCACATAATTCAGGTAACGTTGCCGTCACAAATTTATGAACGAATTTGTATTTCAAATGACTTCATTCTGATTGACGACTGGCAACAAACTAATTCGATAGCCGGATACCGTATTTTATCAATTGCGACTAGTTAATTTTTACTCTGTGAGTACATTCATCAAAATGGAAACAAGATTAAACATGGAATGTCTCTTTTTTCGAACCTGAATAAATGAGAGTCCAAGCGACCGGTACATTTTTCTCGTCATATAGGTTTCTCTCTAACCCGTGTTTCTCACTTATGAAGGTCGTCCATCGGGACCGGACAATCACTCTCGCTTATAGAGGTTTCTCGCTTATTCAGGTTCGACTATACATTCCTTTTGTGATTATAAATTGATTGTGTTTCGAAACGGCTTAAACGTACATGTAAAAGAAAATGTTTTGTTTGCTTATTTATTATTATTTCGTTATTGTTTTACAAATTTTCTGTATTAAAGTGCTCATTTTTGTTAAATAAAAAAATCACAAACTACATAGTAGAAGTAGATAGAAGAATATAATCATAAAAATAACATTATTTCCATACACGTAGCAACTAATGCATTGATTATGAGCTTATCTATTCTGGAAGCACCTCGGGACCCTCTGGAGAGTTCCACATTCGAGGCGTAACAGTTACACGACACAGGGCGCGTCGCCTTTCCTTAATAATTTATCGGATTGATAGAATCTCAGTATCGATTTCAATAGTCCTTTGATAATTTCTGTTTCTATGTGGTAATGTTTGGGTTTACTAATAATACACAACAATAGCTACATCCTTATCAATTAAAATCACCCTCTG